GAATTATTACTGAATGTAATGTTATTAATAGGTGAATTATTTTGATGATGATGGCTTTTTGTGTTTTATAGTTTTTTATACTTTAATAATTTTTATGTCTGTTAAAGAACTTGACTCAAAGCACAGGTAGTACTCAATACAATGTATAAAAGTCCAAGCAATTGTCTCATTACTATTAATAAATCATAAGTTGTAACAAAGGGCTCCAAATGTGGCCTTGACAATGCACACGAAAAGTATGAACAGGGACGTCACCTATGTGCAACATGGCATTGTTTAAACTTTGATATTTTACAGCTGTTGACAGAACCAGCCTCTCTCAGTGCTACCACAGAGTTTGGGAAACCTGACTACCATAAAATTGAGTTTTAGAGCTTTACCGTCATTAGGAGATAATAGAATGAGTTACCTACTCATAAAAATAGAGACACAAGCAAAAAGTGAAGCGTGAAGCAAGTCTGGTCATCAGATAGAATCTGTTTACCTCTTAAAGTCTTGCTAAATGAACGAATTGCTTAAGCATTGGGGACTAATAGGAAAATCAATGTAGTAGTAAAAGATGATGCAAAAAATGTTTATGCTATGGAAATAAGGCAGTTTTTAAAAATTCTTTTTCTTGCCCATCTACTGCAGTTGGTGGTCTAACACATCTGTCACGACAAAGAATGGATTTCCTCACTAGCTGCTACCTGTAGAATTTATACAAACTATTGTATAAATTCTACAGGTACTAGTAAATTTATACAAATTATTGAGAATTCCAAACTATTTGGACAAACAAAATTCCACAACACAAGCATGAAAAATTCACACTTGAATTTTGTAAAAATTAAATGAATGCGTTTTGATAGATGACGAGATTTACATAAAATGTGACTTTAGTCACTGTCCTAGTGACAAACATTACACTCTAATCATTGGTGACGGTGTAAGTACAAATTGAAATAGAAAATTAGAAATTAGAGTAAATAATAGCAAGTATGATGAAGAAGCAACCTTAGCAGATGCTATATTTGCAATTGGTTGTATATAGATTTCTACGAGAGGTCATTAGCGAATAATAATCTAAGAAATTGTTAAGAAGAGGACTCAGTGAGAGGGTTGTCACTCATTAATATGTCAACAGTATTGTGATATTTGTTTGCAGTAAATAACTGAGTTTAGTTGGAGTTAAAAATCACATACCCCCATCTATTACCCAATTGAGATCTGATTCAAGATCAGCTGTCTGTTCTAAGCAATTGCAAGGAAAAGACTTTTTGTCAAGACAGGAGTATAAAGTTGATTCGTCAACAAATAAAGCCATTTAAAATGCAAGAATTTCACGAAGATCATTTTGGTATTTAAGAAAAATACAGAACCAAGTTTAAAACCTAAGATGTCCCAGAAATTAGGGTGACCTTAATTCTGACAGAATGGTTGCTTAATTACTGCAATTTTAACATTATTTATTACAACTGCAATGTTTTCAAATGCTTTTAAAAATGATGTTATGAATTATAAATCCTCATGGAAAGCAAGAATTACTTAGATTTTGTAGCAAAAATTGTTGTCAAAATATTTTTTTTTTTAAACTTCTTTATGTCTTGTTTGGTGGCATGTTTACTACCTTCCATCGGTTTTTTAAAAAAAGCATCATAGTTTCTTAGAGCCAGCATTTACTAATTTTTCCATATTTCCTGGAGTAAAGTGGATCCATCATGGTCTGTGATGAAAATTAACTATACAACAAATATGTTGTTGGCTTAAATAACAAATAAAATAATAAACAGCGTATATATGTTGTTAGCGCAAGTAACAAATATATGGTGTTGGTTTCAAAAATGGTGCATATATTCCTAATCAAAAGACATTTGCCATAGTAACAAATAAAAATATTATAAACATATATATTATAAATAGAAAAAATATTAAATAACTAATAAGTTTAACTTAATGTAATTTGTTGTCTAAATTTATTACAAAATTTTGTAATTAATATTCAGGTCAGGTTATCCTGCTATTGATAACATGTAACCCAGTAAACAGATTCTATTTGTTAACCAGCCTCCTACCACTTCTTTATCTTTTAGGCTAGCACAGATGTATTTATAATACATTGTTCCCAGTTTAGAATGTTGAATGCTGGATCGTCTCGACTCAATGCATGGGTTTTGCTTGTGTCTCTGTTTTTATGACTAGGTAACTCATTTATTATCTCCTGAGGATACAGCTCTAAAACTAATTTTTATGGTTCTGAGGCTGGTAATAGTAATGAGGCAATGTTTGCATTATTATACAGTGTATTGAGTACTACCTGTGCTTTAAGTCAAGTTCTTTAACAAATTTAAAAATGACTAAAGTACCAAAAACTATAAAAACAAAAAACCATCGCCATCACCAAGTTCTCTAAATTTATAATTCACTAATATTTGTGGTCTTCAAAGTAACTTTTCTTCTGTTGAGTCTTATCTCTTGCAAAGTTTACCAGACCTGCTTGGTTTTTGTGAGACTAATTCAAGATTAGCTGTCTCAACTTGAGATTTTAGTGTTAACGGTTATTTTCCTTTAATTCGTAAGTCGTAATTCAACTCAATAGCTTGGCCTGGCATTTACATTCTTAATAATTCACCCATTTGCTGGTAAACTATGTTCAACCTGCAGACTATTCTTTTATGTGCTTTTGTTTAGTACCACTTCACTCTATTGCCTTTTTCTTTGTTCTATATCACTTTCCTTCATTTCAAGAAAAAAGTGCAGACTTTTCGATGTTATTTCTGATCAAATTGACCAAGCCTTTTCTCTTTATCTTTCAGCCAATATCATTGTTGTTAGTGACTTTAATGGTCATCACACTGAATGGCTTGGCTTTAGTGTCAGTAACGTTGCAGGCGTTAAGGCCTACAACTGTTGCCTTCTCAATCTCTAACACAATTAGTCAACTTTACAACTCATTTTCCAGACAATCCGAATCATTTCCTTCTATACTTAACTTATTTCTGATTGTAACTGTGCTCAGTTCTCATTCTTCTTTATAATCAGAATCCCTTATCAATACCATATCTTCCACTAGTTGCATTCTACCTGATATAGCCAAAAAACAGGTTGATTCATTGCTTGAAATTCATATCACTTCAGCTTCTGTATCTTAAGTGACCTTAGATTTCTACAGTTTGTTGTCTGGACAACATACCTGTTATAGTCTTGCAGAAGTGTTTTGGAAAAAATTTTGGAGAGCTATCTGACTTGCCTAACTACCATCCTATTAGTCTTCTTACTATCATAAGCAAGGTTTTTGAGTCTTTGATTAACAAACAATTAATCTCTTGTCTTGAATTTAGTAAATTACTTTCTGATCATCAATAACTGATATGTTTTATTGTGCATTAGATAGAGGTGGAGAAGTTAATGCTATTCTTCTTGATATTTCTAAAGCTTATTATAAATTTTGGTATGCTTGTCTTCTCCATAATCTTTCTTCTTACTATGCATCAGGTAACATCTTTAAGATTATTGAATCCTTCCTTACCAATTGTAAAGTTGTCCTTGATCTACAGTATACTTCTTCATATTCTATAATTTCAGGGGTTCCTCAAAGTTCTATCCTTGCCCCTATACTCTTTTTAAATTAGATTAACAATCTCCCAGAAATTCTCATATGGAATTGTTTGCCGATGATACTACTCTTTTTTCTTGTCTCGATAAAAAGACAACACTCTCAGCATGGAACTCTCTGTCGCTGATGAAATTTAACTCAGATAAAACTCAAATGTAAAATTTTTTTCAGCTAATGATTATCGTAATAGTCTAAATATTCCTACATTTATGAACTCTAATATACTCAAAAAGTCATCTAACCTTTATGTTATAGGATTAAAACTTACTTCCACTCTTTCTAGAAAACCATACATTAAATTTCAAAATTAGCATCTGATAAAGTTGCATCTTTTTATTGTGCTTGCCATTTGTTTTTATTGTGCCATTTGCTTACTCAGTATTCTCTTACTTATCTCTATAAATTTTGAATTTGTCAATTGGCAACAGTACTCCATTTTTAAATGGAGTACTGTTGCCTTTTCTGGGGCGGATCTTTCAATGATGTCCTTTCTCTTTTAGACAATTTAAAAAAATGCATTATAAGCATAGTTGGATCTGCTCTTGCAGCTAACCTCCAACCATTACTAAGTCATCTTAATGTAGCTTCCATTTTTCTTTTCTATAAATACTATAATGGGCACTGCTCTAAAGAGCTAGCATCTCTTGTTTCATCTACTAAAATTCATTCTTGTTTTACTTTTTTTTCCTCAAACATCAGTCCTTTGAAATTTGCTCCCTTCATCATGTTTTCCTAATTCATATTAGTTTAGTTAAGTTTATTCAGTAATCAATCATAAAATTACAACAAAAAATTATAGCTAAAAATACAAATAAAATGATTGCTGAAGAGGGGCAGCACCAGGCTCCTCTGTTCTGACAGTCTTGTGCTGCATACAAAGTATATAGTATATACTTTGTATATACTACTATACAAAAAACTTAAAAACTTTTTACTAACTATAGGTAGTAAAAAGTTTTTAAAGCAGTTGGCACTTTGCGCATCAAGAATCTTGCAGGAGAGCGTTCCAGTGACGTACAATTCGATTTGTAAAAAAATAAACTAATTTTGTTGGTAAACAATTTTTTTATAAACAATTTTTGTTTGTTGGATCAAAGTTAGATGAAATTTTAAATTCATTTAAATTGATATTATAACTTTTATATGTTATATTTTAGTTGTTCATTTTTTACATTGAATTGCACCTTGTTTTTTCAATTACCACCATTTTTTTAACAAATTTAACTCTCTATAGACAATTATCTTTTTGTAAATAAAAATTGTTTTCTCTACATATTATATTTACAAGAACTGTTGTTTATTTTCCGGTCTTTATTTTTACTTTGTTATAAAAAAAATGTCATTATTTGTGTTAATCTTTTTTTTTAGTTTTTTTACTTGAAAAATTATAATTTTTTATTTCAAGGTTGCTGCAGAGAAATACTATAACACAGTGAAAATGCAATTTGAATCTCTTAAGTCTCAAGTTTTGTTTTATCTCTTGAAGGAAACAAAATTTTGCTTCAAAGACTTTCAAGAAATCTTTGCAACAGAAAATTTGGATAGGTAAGACTTTTGAATTATTTTATACTTGTTTATTATTTTTGATCTTTTTTATAAGTAAATAATACCTGTTCATGCCTACAGAGCCGTGCTAAGCAAAAATGACCATATCTAATAAAAAAAAAGCAACATTGTGCAATATAACTTACAATTGTAATGAAGACATCTATTTAAAATAAATAAAACAAATAACGCACAACAATAAATAAAAACTAATTTTTATAATTATATAACAATAATAAAATATATAATAATTAGTTTTTAAAGTTTTAACATGTGATTAAAAGGTTATCTTTTGAAAAAAAATCTTTCTTTTATATCACACTTGCTAAGCATGGGAGTATAGGTGTGGGGAGTAAGTCTATGTGTGTACTTTATCCAGTATCAGGTATGCAAAATTCCAAAAAAGACTGCAGAGTTATCTAATTTTACCTGGGTTTGTAATCTTAAATCTTTGAAAATGTTTATAAACTTCTAAACTTCATATAGAGAAAAACTTTATGAAACTCATAAACATATATACAAAGATACAAAAATCCCATTAACAAGTATGTACAAAACACTTTTTATCTTATGAATTTTACCTACTTGCTCTTTGTAAATACCTAATACAAGTTTAGCTATTTCATCTTCAGGTCTCAGTGTTGATAGCTACTATCTGCTCTGCAATTTTATTTCTCTGCATGAACTACATTCTAGTGTGTCTTTGCCTCTTTTGCTTCTTTTTTAAGTCTTTAGTATCCATCTTATCTTTCAGTCATTTGGGATTTTACTTTGAACACTTGCATTGCTAAAATGTCAGATCTTTGCAACGCAAGTGTTTAACCCACCCAAAACCCTCATCCCCTGAACTCTTCAACATCTCAGCCAATACACCAGAAGGACCAGCAACCTACTGCTTATCAGAATGGGCTTTGTATATAGTTTGCTTTCACTTTCTTTCGATTGTTGAAATTCACAAGAACTTATTTCACTTCCTCAGATTTTCCATCTTCTTCGATTTTTCCATCATCTTCTATTTTCTATCTTCTTCTATTTTCCATCATCTTCTATTTTCCATCATCTTCTATTTTCCATCATCTTCTATTTTCCATCATCTTCTATTTTCCATCTTCTTCGATTTTCCATCATCTTCTATTTTCCATCATCTTCTATTTTTCCATCATCTTCTATTTTCCATCATCTTCTATTTTTCCATCATCTTCTATTTTTCATCATCTTCTATTTTTCCATCATCTTCTATTTTCCATCATCTTCTATTTTTCCATCATCTTCTATTTTTCATCTTCTTCTATTTTCCATCATCTTCTTTTTCTTTCTTTCTTCTCTTCACAAATAACTAATTTGTGCTGTGTAATACAAGTTTTACTTTATATTACTTTTATGTTATTCATTTTCTATTTTGCTTTCTGGTTAAGACATAATCCTCTTACGACTTAAAGCCACTAAATAGGTTACTTTCTGTTGATCTTTATTTGTAAACCATGTGTTAAAGGTTGTCAATCCCATAGCATCTAAAAAGCATTTAATATTTTTAAGGTTAATAATTAATATTTTTTAGGTCAAATCCTTTTTTCTACTTACTCCGTCAAAACTACCTGTAATTGCACCAACATACCTATTCAGGTCTCCACATACAATTAGCATCCCATTTTTTTTGACACTCCTTCATTGCAACCAGTTCAGCAGTATTTGTACCAACATCCATCATATCCAATAATCTTAGCAT